TTGTGCGAAGGATTCACCCATTGATGTGTTGAGTAAAATTGCGTCTTATAAATTGGAGACCCTAAATATTTGAAATTTAAATATTGTCATATTGAGGCATGAAAGAATACAAATTGAGTATAAGTTTTCAAGACCTGATTCTAAAATAACAAGACATTTGAAATCAAGAAAAAAATATATATAATTGAATACTGTATTATGAGAGAGGGAGTGCCATTTAGTTTAAAAAGTTTAGAAGACATAATATCAGAAGAAAAAGAAGAATTATTATCTTTAATTTATGAAGAAGTAGAAGATGAATTAAATTTTAGAATTAAACTTGATATTGAAGTCCAATTAGTAGCAAAACTCCCAGAAAAGGAATATGGAGAAAATGAATTTAGTCATAGAGAGATTTATTTTATGAATGACTTTGATGAATATGTAGATGAAGATAATCTAGAAGATGTATTGAATAAAGCAGATGAAGAAATAAATACCGACATAGAAGAAGACCAAGATAAAGATAGTATAATAGGAATACAAGCATTTCATTTTGAATTGATAATTATTGAAGATATTTATTACTAACATATTTCTAATAATATTTATTTATTAGAATTATGGGTTTGTAAGATAGGGTTATTAAAGGGTAGGGAATAATGTTTATTGTTGTCTATTGTTTTGTTTTTTTTTTGTTGTTGTTCTTCGCTTGGTTTGTTTTTGTTTTTTGGTTGTTGTAGGAATTCTTGGCAAAGACATTTAAGAAGATAATCATATTTATATGTAATGGATAAATTTTGTAGATACTGTGTTAAAGATTTACCAGTTGATAATTTTGAAGATGGATTGAAGACTTGTAAGAAATGCTTGGAATACAAGAGAAAGAACTATGACAAACATAAAGATAAAGTGAATGAAACACGAAGAACTAAATATAAAGAAGATGAAGAATATAGAAAAAAGAAACAGGAACAAATACAAAACTATCGTGATAAAGTTGCCTTTTGTAATGTATGCAATTCATCAATGAAGGCACAATGTTATTCAAGACATTTAAAAACAGAGAAGCATAAAAGCAATTTTGGAACGGTCGATGGATAGGATTTTGTAAAATGAATAATTAAGGTAATAATGCTTTTGACTGCTATGAATTTGAAAAAATGAATGAGGTAAGTATGCTTTGACTGCTATGATTTTGAAAAATTGACTGAGGTAAGTATGCTTTGACTGCTATGATTTTGAAAAATTGAATGAGGTAAGTATGCTTTGACTGCTATGATTTTGAAAAATTGAATGAGGTAATTATGTCTTGATATTGTTGAGAAAAATGAAGCAATTAACAATATATAAACTGGCTTTTTGGACTGTTATGTTTTTTTAATGAATAATTTTTGATTTGTTATACTGCTATGATATTAGTTTTTAGAAAACTTCACTGAATCAACTTTTTTTACATTTTTTGGGTGGCGCTGCGACGCTGCGACGCTCTGGGGGGCGGGTGGCGCTGCGACGCTGCGACGCTGCGACGCGGGAGCAACGCTGCGACGCTGTTGGCGCTGCGACGCTGCGACGCTGCGACGCGGGAGCGACGCTGCGACGCTGTTGGCGCTGCGACGCTGCGACGCGGGATCCACGTGGCGACGCTGTTGGCGCTGCGACGCTGCGACGCTGCGACGCTGGAGCGACGCTGCGATGCTGCGACGCGGGAGCGACGCTGCGACGCTGTTGGCGCTGCGACGCTTCCTTCTGCAAGAGTGCACACGGCGTTGCTTCGCCGCGCGACACGCTATAGAGGTATATAGCACATGACAATGATGCAATGCCTTGCATCAGGGATTTGTGAAGATCGTCAATGAATGTAGAAGTTTAACAGGGCTGGAAGAATTAAACCCTCATTGACGATCTTTAATGAATCTAGAAGTTTAACGGGGCTGGGGAGAATTAAACCCTTATTGAAGATCTTCAATGAATGTAGAAGTTCAACGGGGCTGGGAGAATTAAACCTTCATTGAAGATCTTCGATGGATGTAGAAGTTTAATGGGGCTGGGAGAATTAAACCCTTATTGAAAATCTTCAATGAATGTAGAAGTTTAACGGGGCTGGGAGAATTAAACCCTCATTGAAAATCTTCAATGAATGTAGAAGTTTAACGGGGCTGGGAGAATTAAACCCTCATTGAAGATCTTCCATGAATGTAGAAGTTTAACGGCGCTGGGAGAATTAAACCCTCATTGAAGATCTTCAAGAATGTAGAAGTTTAACGGGGCTGGGCAGAATTAAACCCTCATTGAAGATCTTCAATGAATGTAGAAGTTTAACGGGGCTGGGAGAATCAAACCCTTATTGAAGATCGTCAATGAATGTAGAAGTTTAACCTTTCTGGGAGAATTAAACCCTTATATTCGATGAATGTAGAAGTTTAACGGGGCTGGGGAGAATTAAACCCTTATTGAAGATCTTCAATGAATGTAGAAGTTCAACGGGGCTGGGAGAATTAAACCTTCATTGAAGATCTTCGATGGATGTAGAAGTTTAATGGGGCTGGGAGAATTAAACCCTCATTGAAAATCTTCAATGAATGTAGAAGTTTAACGGGGCTGGGAGAATTAAACCCTTATTGAAAATCTTCAATGAATGTAGAAGTTTAACGGGGCTGGGAGAATTAAACCCTCATTGAAAATCTTCCATGAATGTAGAAGTTTAACGGCGCTGGGAGAATTGAACCCTCATTGAAGATCTTCAAGAATGTAGAAGTTTAACGGGGCTGGGCAGAATTAAACCCTCATTGAAGATCTTCAATGAATGTAGAAGTTTAACGGGGCTGGGAGAATCAAACCCTTATTGAAGATCGTCAATGAATGTAGAAGTTTAACGGGGCTGGGAGAATTAAACCCTTATATTCGCTGAATGTAGAAGTTTAACGGTGCTGAAAGAATTAAGCCCTTATTGAAGATCTTCGATGAATGTAGAAGTTTAACGGGGCGAGGTAGTGTTCAGAGGGGGTCGCCGGATTGATCTTCGAAGATGTAACATATATTCAAAGGGGGTGGCGGGGCTGATGTCTCAAGGTGCAACGTATTGTTCAGAGGGGGTTCGGGGGTTGATGTCTTGTGATGGTGAAGATGCAACATAGTGTTCAGAGGGGGTGCCAGGGCTACTGTCTCAGCTTGTCCGGTGGCTTCTCGGCTTCTCGGCTTGTCCGGTGGCTTCTCGGCTTCTCGGCCTCTCGGCTTCTCGGCTTGCCCGGCGGCTCCGGTGGCTTCTCGGCTTGCCCGGTGGCTCCTCGGCTTCGCGGCTTCTCGGCTTGTCCGGCGGCTTCTCGGCTTCTCGGCTTCTCGGCTTGTCAGGTGGCTTCTCGGCTTCGCGGCTTCTCGGCTTCTCGGCTTGTGTCGTACTTCGCGGCTTCGCGGCTTCTCGGCTTGTGTCGGGCTTCTCGGCTTCTCGGCTTCTCGGCTTGTGTCGTACTTCGCGGCTTCGCGGCTTGTGTCGGGCTTCTCGGCTTCTCGGCTTCTCGGCTTCTGGTCGCATTTCTGGGCCCCTTTTGCCCGTGCTTTGGGATTTTTTATCAGGATTTCTAAACGTTCACAAATGGGATGTGTTTTAAGGGTTTCTTTAGGCTTTTGTTTAGGGTTTCATTTAGGGTTTGTTTAAGGTTTCAGTTTGGGTTTCATTTAGGGTCTCATTTAGGGTTTCATTTAGGGTCTCATTTAGGGTTTCATTTAGGGTTTCATTTATAGGGTCTCATTTAGGTTTTCTTTGGGGTTTCATTTCGGATTTCTTCAGGGTTTCATTGAAGGTTTCTTTAGGGTTTCAATTTAAGGTTTTATTCAGAAATTCATTTAGGTTTCTTTAGGGTTTCATGCCAGGGTGTTCTTATCAGGATGTCTTCTTCACGATTTCTAAACGTTCAAGTGGGTTCCTTAAAGGAAGGGTTTCTTCAGGTTTTTTTGGGGGGTTCATCTAGGGTTTCAGTTAAGGTGTCAGTTAAGGTTTCATTTAGGGTTTTTGCAGAGTGTTGTTTAGGGTTTTTTTGGGATGCCATTAAGGGTGTCATTTAAAGTTTCTTTAGGGTTTCATTTATGGTTTCTTTAGGATTAATTTGTGGTGTCTTTAGGGTTCATATAGTTTCATATGAGCTTCATGTAGGGTTTCTTATCAGGATTTCTTTAGGGTTTCTTTGGGTTTCACCTAGGGTCTCTCTAGGGTTTCATTTAGGATACGGATACAAACAGAAAAGAATAACTGAAAGCAAAAGAAACTGAAAAACAAAAAACTGCAAAGACAGGAAGCAAAGAAGCAAAGGAGCAGGAAGTAGAGCAGCAAAAACACATGACTGAAGAAAGGAAACAATAGACTTACAATCGTAGAAGTAGAAAGGCACAGAAGTAATTACAAAAGCAGAGGGGCAGGGAAAACAGAGGAGTAGAAAGCAAAGAAGTAGGGAAAGCAAAAAGCAGAAAAGCAGGGAAAGCAAAAAGCAGAGAAGCAGAAGAGCAGAGAAGCAGGAAAAGCAGAGAAGCAATGAAAGCAGAGAAGCAGAAAAGCAGAGAAGCAGGAAAAGCAGAGAAGCAATGAAAGCAGAGAAGCAGGAACCCCAAAAAAAAACCTTCCGCGAAAAAAATAGCCCTCCAAAGTTAATCTATTTGACAGAATTATTCTCAAATTTACAAGTTGGAAAGATTCACACACATGCCACAGCAGGTGACGTTGGTTTGATAATGCTTTCATAGTATGCCTTTATGGATGTGGAGATCTGATGAGATATGATCAATTCATGAAGCTAACAGAGCTGATACTCTTTTGGGAAACTCGTTGATCAAAGACTAGGCTGGCCCAGTGTCCCATCACAGTTTCCCACCTTATTGGAAGGATCTAGAATCTAGAAGGTACATTTTTGGATGCTACAAGATTTAACGTTTTTAATTTCTTGCCTTCATTGGCAACCTGCCATACTTGTAGATGTGCATATAAAATTTAATCAGCCTTCTCGCTCCAATATCTTCCGAAGCCAAGTCGCTGATCACGACTCTTCAATGGATGGAACAAAGCCACATTGGGCAACGAACAGTTTGGTAGTCCTGACGCTTCATTGCATACCCAAACTGTTTGCAGGACAACACGATCTACTACTGGCTGGGAAAAAACAGTATCAACCTTACTGGGAACGTTCTGTGACTCGAGTAAAACACAAAGAATGTATCGAAATTGTCTTCCGTGGGTCATCGGCCCTGAGTTCACGACAGCCCAGTTCAGCATTTGCTGACACCCCAGGTGGCCCCGGTCCATGATGCTGAACACATGACATGCTCCGCGCGCAGTAGGTGTCCAGCACACCCTGCGACGCATTGCGATGCTGCCAGGATGGTCTCAGGGGACTTCGACCTTTGCAATCCTGTGATATGGTCCTCGTATGTCCTCGTTCCATGAGATTCTGTTTTCACGGATTTTGATTTTCCATGTTTTTCCTCGGCATTTCTCACTTCGATCCTTGGCTAAGAGTCTGCAGATTTCCACAGCATGCTTGCCTCTCCAATGTCCGAGGCTTCAACTCCCAGTTGTTCCAAACATTTGAAGGTGAAAATGTCTTCGCCTGGGCATTGACCCATAATAGGTATCGGTCAAAAATGAAGCAATGGACCCCATATGACCCCAATGACCCTCAAAAATTGTGCTGGTTTGGAATAAAACGATCCATGTTTGGAGGGGTCATTAGTTTTGACATGTTTTATATAAGCCATACCCATCTGCACGGTTAATGCGACAAACCATCGGAAGCCCAATGGAAGCTGAGGACACCAACTGACTTGGCTGCAGGCGCAGCCCGAGCACAAAATCATGTGCTGTGAGCACAGAAACATAATGGTCTCGTTGTGCCTTTTCACATTTCATCTTGAATCTGTAGGCATTTGTTGCGCAAGTGGGAAAATTGAGTCCCTTGGATCACAAGGGATATGAGCACAACGCTTTAAAGGGGCTAGGGCTACCCCATGGAAAGGGCTAGGTCGTTGCCGGCTAGCCGTGGTGGTGATGGGGTGGTGACGAACCCCTTCTACTCGAAGAAGGTCCAGGAGGACATGGCGGTGAGAACTCTGAGGCCTGCTGATTTGCCTGGAGACGATAGCAGCTTGGATGCGACCCCGGAGCCGGTGAGGGACGAGGGGTGGCATGGTGGGACTGGCAAGGGACGTGGTGCAGCGTCTTCTGGGCCGGGCAAAACGGGAAGTAGCTTTGTGACACCACCTAGGACCTAGCAGAAAAGTTAAGTGGCAACCAGGTCTAGAAGGGCATGGTAAGAAGGTCAAGCAGTCTCAAGGGCAGTTACCACCTGAAACTGGGGATCAAACTATGGGCAGTGTTCATGGAGCTCCTATGGAAACTGGTTCGGATGATCTCAAGCTGGCATTGGAGAAAGAGATGTTCGAGTATTTACGAGAACAGAATCTTCAACTGAAAGCTGAAAATGAGCGTTTGAAATAGGGTCGACAACATGGTAGCGAGCATAGTGAACATGGTCATGGTGTTTCCTCTACCTCATGGTCCGAAGTTGGGGGAGATGGAAGTAGCAGGTTGAATGGTGTGGGCATGAAGGGTTGCAGTACTCCTCGCAAAGACAAGCTGCTAGATGGGGCATGTAGAACCAGGGTCCAGACACTTCACCCCCAATGGATGTTAGTGGTTCACATGTACCTCCAGCTCCGCCTTTGCCTCCGGTTCCTCCTTTTCCAGCGGTTCATGAAAGTGATCAACGCGTGGAGCAGCTTCTGGATGGGTATGAGCGGACAAAGGGGCCAGATCAAAAAGGGAAGTTGGGTGATAGTCAGTGGAAGCCAACTCAAACCCAAATGGATCAGAGGGATCTCAATGGGACCAGGGCACATGAACTTTCACCAAGTGAAGCTAGGGAAGTATGGCTAGAGCGAGAAGTGCAATCGTTGCGGTCGGTTTTAGATCGCATGGCTGATCAAACATCGTTCAAGTCATCTCCATACTGGTCTCAGGGATTTCAATCAGGGGTTTCCAATCAAGTCTCTGGCATGCGGGCGTCGGGAAATCGTGATGACACTCGGGCTCAGCATTCTTTGAGCAGTGCTTTTGAAATTCCACATGACAATCGGGCTCAGCATTCTTCCAGCGGTGTTGCAGATCTACTCCATGGAGCTCGGGTCTTGAATGGCGCGAGCAGTGCTCCGGCTCTACCACATGACGGTCGGGCTTTGCAGGAGACTGGCAGCGGTGCTTTTAACGTACCGCATGACGGTCGGGCTTTGCATGGATCTGGCAGCGGTGCTTTTAACGTACCACGTGACGGTCGGGCTTTGCATGGATCTGGCAGCGGTGCTTCTCAAGTTCCACATGATGCTCGGGCTTCGCAGGCATTTAGCAGTGCTTTTGGAGTATGTCCTGGCGATCGGGCTTCGAGCATGGAAAAGTCTCAATATGATGGAGATCGTCTTTTGGCATCCTCCACAAGAAGGGCGTGAGCAAGGGGCATCGAGCTATGGTCCTGTGCATGGAGCATGGCCGGACGTTAGTGGTGGGGGAATGAGCGGGGCCAAAGCGGAACTTCCCGACCTACCTGCAACAGCCTCGCCATTGGAGTTTGGAGACTGGCTTCATCTATGTGGGCCAACTATGAAGGACCTTCCCAATCAAGCTGCAAGGTGGTGGTTGCTCACAACTACTCAGGCGAAGTGCTACTATGAGGAATGGAAAGAAGCGACGCCACTTCAGCGAGTTCAAATCCATCCACGTCTTCCTGAAGAATTACATGCATCAACCTATGCACGCACTGAACAACGTGGTGTGCACTTAATGTTGAAAGCGGTGAGTGCCAATCAGCAACAGGAGCTTGTCGTGGATCGAGATCTCAATTCAACAGCGATTTTGTTTCGTCTGTATGTACGCCATCAACCAGGTGGACCAGCAGAAAAGGGCATCTTGTTGCGAAACTTGACCACGATGCCATCCTGCAAGTCGGCAATGGAGTGGACGGCTGGCGCCGGCACTATGGAAGAGCGAGGGAGAACGGGGCGATTTTGCCTGATGGATGCCTCCTGATGAAGGCATTGGAACCGGTGATTCAGTTTTTGGCCAAGGAGGATTCTCAAGCCTCTTTTAGACTGTCACAAAGCAGATCTCAACTTCAGGTGAACGAGAAGCCAGACCACGTCAACTTGTGGCAGTTCTCGCAATGTCTGTTGGCCGAAGCTGGGACACTATCACTGTTTCGAATATCATCTAAAGCATCATCTTCAACGACAAGCTCTCCCATCAAGGTCAAACAATTGGATGGAAGCGCCACTGCAAAGCCTGCCATCAAAGATGACAAGATCAAGGGCAAGGGCACCTCCAATGTCAACAAGCCATGCCGATACTTTGCTTCAGATGCGGGCTGCAGAGCTGGCAAATCTTGCAAATGGGTTCACTCCTGGGACAACATCGAGGACAAGAACAACAGGTGTTGGAACTGTGGTGCCAAAGACCACAGAAAAGTGGATTGCCCGGTGAAGGGTTCGGGTGGCAAGCCTGCGAAACCAAGTGAACCGAACGGTTCAGGGGGAGATGGTGCGAATGTGAATGCATCATCGACGTTGTCTTCTACAAGTCCTGCCAAGTCGTCCACAGGGCCAAAGATCAATGAGATGTCCAGTGTGGTCAAGACGGAAGAATCTAGAGGTGGGAGCAAACAGGATGATGGTGAAGGAGAAGGAAGAACGAGTGGGTCAACGGGAGGAAGTGCAAGTGATGTACTTCTACAAGAAGCCACTCAGCTGCTGAAGTCATTGCGTCTGCCCCAGGTCAAAGTGATGCGAGTGTCGCAACTCAGTCATGATGAGAGCAGTGGTTGGGTTCTACTTGATTCAGGTGCAACACACAGTTTGCGACCGGCAATGAATGATGAAGAATGGAAGGCAGCACAGCCTACTGAAGTGTCTTTGGCTGAGGGTGTTATGTTACTCAAAGTCTCCGTCTCAAACAAGGGACCCGGTGTTTGCTTTCGAACCCTGCGGATGAGAAGTACAAGTCTTGGATTCTACCTCTTGGAGGACTCACTGGAGCATTGAAGTATGTGTACATCAAGACTGTCCGATGGTTAGCAAAGGTGACGGAGAAGCGCTGATGGCCAAGCTGGAAGTCTTTCATCTCAGGCTGATCCAGAGGTGGACTGTGGTGAACATGATCCACAAGGACCCAAGCTTGTTCACTGACAAGTTGGACGTGGAGTTGGCACTGAATCTCAAGATGATGGAACTATGGCCCTCACTGCCCCAAGACATTGCGATGCGACTGATTCCCAACATTGCTGATGCGGGTCGTGAACCAAGGGGTCTTCCTTGGAATCGTGCCAAACGAAAGCGCCTTCGGAGAGCCAAACACATTGTGCTGCACTTCTACTCAGGCCCCAACACGAAATTCTGGGAGAAAGAGCTCAGCACTGGTGATACTGAAGTTCTGTGCATTGACATCCTCTCCAACTGCAAGGCTGATGTTTTGGATGATGGTGTCTACATGTACTTGCTGATGTTAGCATCATCCGGTAGAGTGCGAGAAGTGCTTGGTGGTCCACCCTGCAGGACGGTTAGTGCCCTGCGATTTCAAAATGATGGTGGCCCTGGCATTGTCCGGACGGAGGCTGATCCCTATGGTGCTCCTGGAATTTCAGCGGAAGAACAAACTCTGGTGACCAATGATGCTTTGCTTTTCCTGCGCATGCTCTTCGTCTATGCCATTGTTGAGGACGTTCGAAGCCCAAAAGCACTGGAAACGGGACTGACTTTGGAACAACCTGAAGACCCTGCACGCTATACAAGTCCCCGAGAAGCGGCAGAAAAGCAATTCATGAGCGTTTGGAGGACACCAGCATGGCAGCAGTTCCAACAACGATTTGGGGCCAAGCTCATACACTTGGATCAGGGCCGAACTGGCCACAAGCGCCGCAAACCAACTACATTGGCGTTGGTGGGTGATGAGTTGGTGCAGTTGGACGAGATCAGGTGCGACACCAATTTTGAGGCTGGCGATGACGATCGAAAGGCAATGTCTATGTCTCAAAGATGCGCAGACTCCAAGTCCTGGGCCGAATGGTCCCCTGGCTTGAAGGCAGCAATTGTTGCGGCTTTGCAACAAAGACTCAGAAAACATCATCAACAGCAAGTGGAAGTTCAACCTTCTCAAGTACGACAAGAACCTGTTTCCGTGCAACCTGAGGAACAAACTCTACAACTCAAACCACTGAGCGCAACGGCATTAGAGGCGTGGAAGGAGCACTACATCACCGCGATTGCCAGCACTGTGTGAGGGCCCAAGCCCGTGGGAAACCAAACAAAAGGGTTGTCCACCCAGAGGCATACACCCTATCTGTAGACCTGAGTGGAAGAATGTCTCCAGGCATCAACCAAGAGCGCAAGATGTGCAAGTACCTTTTGGTTGGGGTCTACACTTTCCCCGTCACGAGAAAGGGCCACCCGCTCATCGAAGCTGATCAACAAGAACCTCAAGATCAACCACTTCCAGATCCTGGTGAATTTACGGGAGAGGAAGAGCTTGGTGATGATCAGCTGCAAGAAGATCTCCTTCAAGAACAAGAAGAGGCTGAGTTTTGGGGGGAGGGAGAGGATGGTGGCAGAGTTGCGGAGGAGTCAACAAATGGGTGTCTGGATGCCTGGCAGAAGTTGGTGGAGGATTCTCAAAATGTGGCAGTGCGAAATGCCACGATGGTAGAAGTGGTAGAAAGCCGCACAGTTCAACACATACTTCCTGCAGTGGCTCGAATCTACAGCAGACTTCGTCAACTGGGCTTGCCTGTCATGAGACTTCATTCTGACAGGGCCAGAGAATTTACATCCCTGGCTGTTCGAAGATGGGCGCAAGCCAGGGACATCGTGGTTACAAAGACCAGCGGAGACAACTACAAAGCCAATGGAAGATGTGAACGCGCTCTGGGGCAAATCAAGCGGGCCACACGGACGGTCTTGTCCGCGGGAGGTCACAATGTCAACTGGTGGCCGTTAGCTGCGAAGCATGTGGGAGAACGAAAGTTGCGATCTCAATTGCGGGCACTTGGCTATCTTGTTGGAGATCTTCTACAGTTTGGGGCTCAAGCCTTTGCGTTGCGGAAGTGGTGGCATCATCGCTACGAACAGTGGCAGGACATCCGTGAACCAGTAGTCGTCTTGGGCCCTGATGCTTGCAGCACTTTGAGTACCACAAACTACTTTGTGCAAGCCATCGAAACAGGCCGATACTTTTTCACGGACGATGTCATCATCCCCAACTTCCAGGCCATAGCTGAAGCTGATCAAGTTCCACCACAAGAAGGCCAACATGAAGATGCAGCAGTGGCTCCGCGACCAAACTCTCAGGAGATCTACTTGCCCGAGCGTGATGAACAATCTCGACCAGCAGGCTTTGGCATGATCCCTCCAAGAAGGCTCAGGACAAAAACAGCCCCTGCAACGTTGCATACTTTGTCAATGGGTTCTACTGAGGGGGAGACATGCGGTGGAGATTTTCAACCAAGTACACATCAATTCAATGCGGATTTTTCATCTCAACTACACAATGTTTTTGAAAACCTTGGATCTTCCTCACAAGCCAGCAATGCTGACAGTGACAGCTGGACATTGGAAACCAGGCCATCAACACAACCATCGGTCTCTGAAACATCGGGTTCTCTGGAGGAGGATGGATCGAGCGGTGGGGATGTGAAGGAAGCGCCTAATAGCTGGTGCGGTGGCTCAAGCCCAGCAGCCCCATCGAGAGGCCGAGAAGGTTTCCCAAGGCAAATGCATGGCAATCTGTCAGAGCTGGTGCAGGAATAGATGGGCATGGTCGATGACACAACGATCGAACAGGATCGAACAGGCATGGTGTTTGCCAGTTTTGTCGGAAGCTCTGATAAAGAAGGTGGCGGTGGAGGAAGAACTTCATCAGCTTGAACGAGACAAGGTGAACAAAGAGTTAAAGGCCCTGGAAACCAATTTTTGGTGACCAAAACGGTGAGCAACAAAGAAGTTTGGGATTCACTGTCCGATTGGGAGCCATCAATCAGGGCTGGGTATGATCAGCTGGTTCATCAAAAGAAGGATGTGGTTCAGATGTCGTAGCAACAATTGCGGCAAAAGGCAGCCCAAGCTGGAGCTGAGATAGAGCTGTTGCTGGGCAAGATGGTCCATACGCGCAAAGCTCAAACAGGTGCCTATCGCAGTCGAGCAGTCATCTGTGGAAACTATGCATCGTCCTCGGAGCAAGATGTGTATGCAGGTGGTACGGATGGAACTCAAGTACCTGCTGCGCTGAAGACGGCTGCAATGTTCAACTGGCGAGTTATGGGCACTGACATCAGAACAGCTTTCTTGAACGCGAAGCGAAGAGATGAGACAAAGCCGGTGGCAATGACAATCCCTGCAGTGTTTCGCAAGTTGAACCTCGCCAAGGACAATGATGTGTGGCTTGTGGAGATGGCCTTGTACGGATTGACAACGAGCCCCAAAGATTGGGGAATTTGCCGAGACACGACCTTGCCTCAGTTGTCTTGGAAGCGCATCAACGACGAAGGTGTGGAGGTTAAAGGCCACTTTGAAAAGGGCCCGGATCAACGTCGATGGTGTGGGCTGCTTTGCGTGTATGTGGATGATTTACTCTTCTGTGGGGAGGAGCAGGTTCTCAACAAAGCGCTGCTAGCGGTGGAGGCAACTTGGTCTTGTGCTACAGCGGAGTGGGCCACAGAAACGAAAGCTCTGAAATTCTGCGGCATTGAGAATTGAGATCACCATGGGCAAGGACAACAATGGCTTGCATCTTTCTCAAAGCGGCTATGAAAAAGAGCTTCTGGACAGGTGGAATGTTGGAGGTGGATCAGAATTTCCCATGTTCAAGCTGAGTGAGGCCGACTTTGAGACGGTGGAATCAGTGGATGCTGGAGTTTTGAAAGAAGCTCAAGCGTTGGCAGGTGGTCTGCTGTGGTTATCAACAAAGTCACGCCCTGATTTATCATATGGAGTTTCCACTATGAGTCGGTTGATGACGAGAAATCCACAAAAAGCTTTGGATGTAGGCCATGCGTTGTTGCGATACCTCAAATCCAACCCGGGAGATCTTCACTACACCCGGGACATTGCCAAGGATGGTTGGGGAGAAAGAAGATTCAAAGAAGCAATCGCAGCATTGAGATCTTCTCCGACATCTCCTATGCGGCGGGAACGTCCTACCGCAGCATCCAGGGAGTGGCAGCGTTCGTAGGTGGAAGCCCCATAGCATGGCAAAGCTCACAACAAGCATTTGCTACACACAGTACTGCAGAGTCGGAACTTGTGGCGTATTGCGAGAGCTTGCTGATTGGACGGGCAACTGAAGCTCTTCTATGTGCGATGTGGGGGGAGCCCTTAAACAACAATTCCTTCACTCGAGTCATCTATGGTGACAACCTGGCAGCGATTGGGTTAGCACATGGCAGCTTGTGAAGTTCCCGGGGGAGCTTGGAGATTGATCCATTTGAAGGGTTCAGAGTTGGTGGCCGATGGTTTGACCAAACAACTTCTTGGCCAGAGTTTTGAGCGATTCCGTGAGGATCTTGGACTTCAAAAGAGAGCAGCTGAAAAGGAGAAGCCGGGAGCCTCATCCACAACTTTGACTTCAGGTGCTGCTATCAAGGTTTTGACAGTGGGTAGTGTGTTGTAGGTCATGCAAAGGCGATGTCTAATGCTACTGCGACGGAGGACGTGGATCTGACATTGGTGTGGACAGCGGGCATAATCCTGATGATCTTGGGTGCAATCTATGCCATGCAGCTAGCGACCCAAGGAGTTCAATGCTGTGTGAAACGATTGTGGAGGGCATCGGGCAGCCAATTTGACTGCAGCTTGTTGGAGAGAGCGTCAACTTCGATAGTGCAGGAGGAAATGGATGTGGCTGAAGCTAGTGATGTCTCTGCTCCAGATTTGCGAAGACAAGTTTTCGGAGACACCACTAGTGACGCTAGTGATGGCAGACCTACAACACGGCAGAGTGCATCACGATCGGGACCTGCTATCAACACATCACGGCAGAACACATCACAGTCGGGCTGTGCACAAAGAGCTTCAAGTGGTGGCCATGGGAGCGCTACATCAAAGCAGAGCGCAACACCATCGGGCTCTGGTGGTAATGCTGTGGTGACTTCAACACTGAATATGTCATCACAGTCGGGCTTGGTGGCATCTCTCTCATTGACGAGCGCGACACAGTCGGGCTCAGCAGCGGTAGCTGGTAGAGTAGATCAGGTGTCAGGTGATGATGGGTCAAAGGAAACCCATAGCGAAGAAGGTAGAGCTGTGGTAGGTTCGGCCTGTAATAGTTGGAACGAATTTCAGAAGGAGAACCGTGGTAAGCATTGGGGAACTGAGAAGATGAGAGCTGAATATTACAAGTTGAAATGCCACAAGAAATGACGAATGCCTTGGGCCTATGGATTCCAGAGATTTTGGTCTGGGCATTAATTTTGATTTGAAAGGTCTGATGACCGTGGTGAAACAGCTTTTCATTTTCCTCCGTTTGTCAAGCGACAAAGGGGGAGCTCGCTGTGCCTTTTCACATTTCATCTTGAATCTGTAGGCATTTGTTGCGCAAGTGGGAAAATTGAGTCCTTTGGATCACAAGATGGTTAAACAAAAATCACAACATGATGTCATGACACATCAATAATTATAGTTCTCAGGTCCAAGACTCCAAACAAAACAACCAAGACAAATTGAGATAAATATGCAGGACTCAAATGCGTATTACATCTTCACAATCCATCAGGGAAACACCAGATGTATGTATATATATATATGTCTGTATTTTCTATAGGAAATATAAATAGATACGCAGTACATGGGAGCACTGGGTGAATACAAGAAAATCAAATATTTGTTTATGTTCTTTGTCATGTCAATCTCCGGCAACTCGTGAGATCCTGAGGGCAAAGCCCATGTGCCACCAATCCATGGACCTTTGACCTCAATGCGCAGTCCACAGCAGTGTGAAATGATGTGAAATGTTGATCTCTGGACCTTCTGGCTATGGTTGGCTCTGGGGGGCTCTACATTGTGGACATCCATGGGCCTGTCTTAAAAATAGTGTGCACTGATCCAGCAAACAAAGCCCAAATCATTCCCAAATCATATTGTTAGCCAACATATCCAATTTCATTTCCACAAATGATGATTGTTTTCAAAAATTTCATACCCTGCATCTTCCCACATTGTAATGTCACTATCCATATCCATCATATCAGGTCCATACCCCAATTCCATTGGTTTCCACATGTTTCCACAGCACCAGGCCACACTCCGCTTTCTTACCATTATAGAGGTAGAAGGCTTGGCGTGAAAGGATCTCAATCGAGCCCTGCATCGAACTCATCACCCGGCAATTTTTGAAGTACCTGTCATGTCGATTCATGTCGGACGATGACGTGGGGATGTATGACACCAAGGGATGAAATCATGGAGAATATGAATTGAAACAAGATGCAGCCCACGAACCCGAATGCAGTCACGTAGAACGCTTTTTTGTGAAACAAGTTGCTTAAATAGTCTACATCTTTCCCCTGTTACCTTACCAGTGCACTGTAGACCAAGGAATGCGGAAGAGGGTGGAGTGCAGTGTGGAGTGTGGAGTAAAGAGTGTAGAGTGTAGAGCGCAGACTCTGGAATATAAAGTGTGGAGTGTAGAGTGTGAAGCGTGGAGCGTAGTGTGGAGTGAGAGTGTGGAGTGTAAAGTGTGGAGTGTGGCGTGTAAAGTGTGGAGTGTAAAGTCCAGAGTGTGGAGTGTCGAGTGTAAAGTGTAGAGAGTGGAGTGTGGAGTGTGGAGTGTAAAGTGTAGAGTGTGGAGTGTAAAGTGTGGAGTGTAAAGTGTAAAGTGTGGAGTGTGGAGTGCAAAGTCTAGAGTGTGGAGTGTGGAGTGTGGAGTATGGAGTGTCGAGTGTGGAGTGTAGAGTGTAGAGTGCGGAGTGTCAATTGTAAATTGTAAAGTGTGGAGTGTAGCGTGTAACGTGTAACGTGTAAAGTGTGGAGTGTGGAGTGTGAGGTGTGGAGTGCGACGTGTAAAGTGCAAAGTGTGGAGTGTGGCGTGTAAAGTGTAAAGTGTGGAGTGTAAAGTGTAGAGTGTGAAGTGTAGAGTGTAGAGTGTAGAGTGTAAAGTGTGGAGTGTAAAGTGTAAAGTGTAAAGTGTAGAGTGTGGAGTGTAAAGTGTGGAGTGTAAAGTGTAAAGTGTGGAGTGTGGAGTGCAAAGTCTAGAGTGTGGAGTGTAGAGTGTGGAGTACTGAGTGTCGAGTGTGGAGTGTGGAGTGTAGAGTGTGGAGTGTGAAGTGTAAAGTGTGGAGTGTGAAGTGTGGAGTGCGGAGTGTAGAGTGTAAAGTCTGGAGTGTTGAGTGTAAATTGTAAATTGTAACCTGTGGAGTGTAAAGCCTGAAGTGTGGAGTGTAGAGTGTAACGTGTATAGTGTGGAGTAAGGAGTGTGAAGTGTTGAGTGCAAAGTGTAAATTTAAAGTGTGCAGTGTGGAGTGTGGAGTGTAGAGAGTCTGAAGTGCGGAGTGTAGAGTGTAAAGTGTGGAGTGTAGAGTGTGGAGTGTAAATTATAAATTGTAAAGTGTGGACTGTAAAGTGTAAAGTGCAAAGTGTGGAGTGTGAGGTGTAAAGTGTAAAGTGTAAAGTGTAAAGTGAGGAGTGTCGAGTGTCATGTCTGGAGTGCAAAGTGTAAAGTGTGGAGTGTGGAGTGTAAAGTGTAAAGTGTGGAGTGTGGAGTGTACAGTGTGAAGTGTAAAGTGTAGAGTGAGGAGTGCACGGAGAGTGTGGAGTGTGCAGTGCAAAGTGTGCAGTGTAAAGTGTGGAATGTGGAGTGTGGAGTGTAAAGTGAAAAGTGTGAGTGTGGAGTGTAGAGTGTGAAGTGTGGAGTGTAGAGTGTGGAGTGTGGAGTGTAAAAAGTGTTGAGTCTGGAGTGTGGAGTGTAAAGTGTAGACTGTAAAGTGTAGAGTGTAAAGTGTGGAATGTAAAGTGTGGAGTGTAAAGTGTAAAGTGTGAGTGTGGAGTGTAGAGTGTGAAGTGTGGAGTGTAGAGTGTGTAGTGTAGAATGCGCAGTGTGGAGTGTAAAGTGTTGAGTCTGGAGTGTGGAGTGTAGAGTGTGGAGTGTAAAGTGTAGAGTGTGGGGTGTAAAGTGTATGTGGAGTGTAGAGTGTGAAGTGTATGTGGGGTGTAGAGTGTGAAGTGGAGTGTAAAGAGTAAAGTGGGGAGTGTTGTGTGTAGAGTGCGGGGTGTAAAGTGTAAAATGTGAAGTGTTGAGTGCAAAGTCCAGAGTGTGGAGTGTAGAGTGTGGAGTATGGAGTGCCGAGTGTGGGGTGTGGAGTGTAGAGTGTGGAGTGTGAAGTTTAGAGTGTTGTGTGTAAAGTGTGGAATGTAAAGTGTGGAGTGTAAAGTGCGGAGTGTGGAGTGTTAAGTGTAGTGTAAAGTGTAAAGTGTAGAGTGTAAAGCGTAGAGTCTCGAGTGTAGAGTGTGGAGTGTAAAGTGTGGAGTGTGGAGTGTAGAGTGTGGAGTGTGGAGTGTAAAGTGCAAAGTGTGGAGTGTGGAGTGTACAGCGTAGAGTGTAGAGTGTGAAGTGTGAAGTGTCGAGTGTAAAGTGTTATCTAAGTGGTAAGTGTGAATATAAGGTGTAGAGTGTGGAGTGTGAAGTGTGGAATGTAAAGTGTGGAGTGTGGAGTGTAAAGTGTGGAGTGCGTGTGGAGTGTAGAGTGTAAAGTGTAGTGTGTGGAATGTAAAGTGTGGAGTGTGAAGTGTAAAGGGTGGATTGTGGAGTGTAGAGTGTGGAGTGTAGAGCACGCAATGAGACACATCTGAAGTGCTGCGCCTGCCACGCAAAATGACGACAGAGATCTCCAAAATGTTGCGCCTGCCACGAAAACTGCAACTCATCATACTCATCTTGTTAAAACAACGCAAAAGTAATGCGCCTGCCACACAAAACGACTTTCGACGCGCTATCAAACAGGTTGGAATGTCGCAAAGTGCCGCGCCTGCCACGCAAAACGACATGGCAACCTGCTCGGAAACCTTCAAAAGATTCAAAAAGGATATGTTTTGCAGCTTTCCCCAGACCCCAAGAGTGAAACGGGAGCCCTTGCTACACATTCGGGAAAAATGATACATGAATAACATATAATAACATGTAATAACGCTTAACAGCTATTTCAGCATGGGCATCAAAGCAGGCATATGGCGGCATATGTATGATATCATGGGATATAATTAACCGATATCAACTACGCCAACAGTCATCAGCTTATCCCGAAAATGGACCAAACTTTTAAAGTCAATAAATTGATTAATTATCAAGAATGGTTGCACCTTAGTTTCAAACTAACCCCATGTCGCCATGGCCAGCGTTCGTCCATGCGAGCTGTCACAGCAGGCTGTGTAGGGGCTCAACTCATCCCTTGGATTGCTGGGTACTGCCAGCCCTATGATTCCCAAACGGCAAACGAACTCCCCCAGTTGCAGGAACCACCCCTCGCCTTCCAACAGTCGTACTTGCATTGTCCTTGGATGATTTAGGGCACTGCAATGTGGCAGTGCAACACATTGATCAATCAATGCTCTAGAGTCTAGAGGTGGATGCCTTGACTTGTCCAACCCAGGGGGATCGCTAGAGGCAGCTTCCCAAACACGAGCCAGACAAAATCAAAAATCAAACTGACAATATATAAATATAATATAATTAAATATATATATATATGTTGAAGTGCAGCAGTTGCATGTAGACAAGGAACCTGCTTGTGAAACTGCTTTGTTTTGAAGATTTTGCGAAGTCGAACTGGGCCTTGGCGCAAAGTGCTGGCGAGAGAACCGCTGGAGGGCGAGCCGTGAGAGTACTAAACTCCTTCAAACTGTGTCCAATTGGACGCCAAAAATGCTATTCTCATGCTATTCTCAGAACTGAGAATTCTGGGAATCATTGTCAAAGAAGCAGCTGCGTTGAATCAGATGTTCTCCTTGAATGAAATGAGAACTGTTTTTTCGATCCCCTCTGCAGGTTCCCTCAGGCAAAGTACTGAGTGCGGAGTCTGGGTCCACCTGAAGTGGGAAAGTTGTTGAGTGAAAGGGAACTGGTAGAATCTCAGCAATGGTCAGCGGTCACAGCTGCACTGATGGGTGGCAGCATGGCACCCCAAAGCAAGTTCTGAACAACCGCAACCCAACCCACCGTAAAAGATTGTTGATTCCAGCAGGTATTTCTTGTCGATATAATTTTCGAATGATCCTTTTTCCAGTCAATGGGAAATAGTCCTTCGCCAGCCTTGATAATCCAAGAGTGAAGGCCTCAAAACAGAAAAATACCGGAGATCGATGGGGCTCATGCGCTGTCCATGGCGGATAAGCTAGGGAAGGTTACCATACCCTACCATACCAGACTAGCTGCCATACCATATGTGCCATACCACTCCCCTGCCTTGCATTGCAGTACGTGTGCAGTACGTACATGCATACAGTAGTATATAAATCTGTATATCTCTTTTATCCACTAGCAGTTGCTAGCCAGCGGAGAGGGTCAGAAAATATCGGAAAATAAGAACACCTCTGTTCCACAAGCATCTGAGCCAACGGCCTGCAACACCATCTGCTTGTGCATTATCCCAAGCACGCTGTAGGACATTCGCCTGGGAACACACAGGCAACATTGAAATAGATTGAACATCTAAGAATCTTAGATATATTTCTTTCATTTTCATTCAAACGTATTCTCTATGCGGCACTGCATGCCTGTTGCCCTATGTTGCCGTGAGGTAGCTCTGATAGGATGTCGTATATACATGTATGCCGTATACACATGTATATTTACTGCATATGAAATTTAGCCAAGGCGCGTTCATCAAGTACTTGGTGCTGTGGTCACAGCCCCAAAAGTATGCCTTTCCAAAAAAGGCTTCTGGTCCTTCGTAGCACATTTCGTGCAGCAAACCACTCGCTCACAATTCTCACTCACTCTCTGCACATGTATTACACGACATACCCTGCACCTATCCGCACAGCCGAAAACATGAAAAAGAAACAAAATGTTGATAGATAATAAGTGATAATCATAGATACATACATGTAAATCTAGTTAGTATGTATACCTGGATGTTCCTGACGGGCTCGTCTTTGTGCCCAAGTCTCTATCGAAGGGGTGCTTTCTCTTTTTAGATCTCTTTTGGCAGGTTTGACGCCAGTTTCCGGTTTGAATTTGAAGATGCTTCAAGCCTGTATAAACTGGCAAAGCTGGGCTCATGGGTTGCTACTGCATTAAGCAGTTGCGCTGAGTGTGCATACACCAAATCCTCTCTTCGCATGCATGCTTTTCATGGCCTCATGGCATAATATGGCAAAACACATTTTCATGACAAATTTTGTCTGGATGCCTGACCATGGAGGCCGAGATAGTCTCTGCAGGTATGATAGGCTATGGATGGCTAAAAGCTTACGTTTTTGAGAGGCGTAATTTTGCCAGGGAAGGCATACAATACATATCATATCATATATATAATTATTAATTATTAGACAGTGCGTAATTGGGCAAACACTCACTTTCAACTTTCAAAGTTCAAGTCTTTCCCAGAACTATACACTGCATACGGGTCAAAAGCCATGTGCACCCACAACTCAAACCATGAAATTGTTTGACTCCTGTGCTAAATCTAGTGACACTGGCCGCGCTCACCGCGGCGCGCCACCGCAAGCACGCGCGCTACTATCCGCCCCGCCAGCAGGGTGGTAGACCCGGGTTTTGCCCAGGTTAGCCGAGACCCCCGCATGGGTCGCAACTGCGCGGGTGACGCAGTCACAGGCTGCGCTTGCGCGCTCCGGCCGGTTGAGGATGACGATGTCATCGAGGTAAGCATGCACTCGGTCGTTGGGACATGCCAGTTTGGCAACGTGCTCGTCCCATACTGGCATGTCACGCATGCTCTTCAAGGTGTTTTCTTGTTGTAAGGATCCGAAATATAGCACAAATGTATGTTGCATGATTCTGCGTGATTTTGTAGGTACATTGGCTGCACCAGATGCAGGCAAATATGCACGCGCACATTTGCCTGCAGGCTGCATCACATACATTTGCGTATTCACATGTGCGCCTTTACTGAGGGCAGGGCACGGGGGAAAAATGAACCCAGATCTTCAGCAACTCAATGTTCAGATATTTCACGACGTTGGATATTGATCATCCCAATACATGCCAGCTCAACAAATTCCTTAATGAACTGCAGATAGCTGCAGCCAGGAGATGCCCTGCCCCTGCCTGGAATGGACGTCGTCTTTGCGATTGTGCCTTGCCGGCTGGATCAATTTCAAGCTTTAAAATGCGAAGCCCCAGGCGAGCACAAAAAACCATAGCACAATATCATGCACATGCAATATCAGAACAAATTGTATATTGTACAAAAAAAAATAAAGTACTTCTGATATCTTCTGATACAAACTAAATTCATTACCTGATTGAATTCGACCGACCCCGTCTTGCAAGGAGCCACAGGGCAGCCAGTGAATCGTGTATCTAAGGACATCGACCACTGACTCCTAGAGAAGAAACTAAAAAACGGAATTTGATAATTAAAGGACCAGATAACCCAACATGTTAAGCCTTCCGATTGTTATGAGACGAAAGTGATGACTTGGGATGGTGGAAGCAGATGATGACTGGATGGGAAAGAGGTCGATAGATAGATAGATAGATGGATGGATAGATAGATAGATAGAGAGATAGAGAGATAGAGAGATAGAGAGATAGAGAGATAGAGAGATAGAGAGACAGAGAGATAGAGAGATAGAGAGATAGAGAGATAGATAGATAGATAGATAGACAGATAGACAGATAGACAGATAGACAGATAGACAGATAGACAGAGATAGATAGATAGATAGATGGATGGATGGATGGATGGATGGATGGATAGATCGATAGATAGATAGCTAGATAGATAGATAATGATAGATTGATTGATTGATAGATAGATAGATAGATAGGTAGATAGATAGATAGATAGATAGATAGGTAGATAGATAGATAGATAGCTAGCTAGATAGACAGATAGACAGATAGACAGATAGACAGATGGATGGATAGATAGATAGATAGATAGGTAGATAGATAGATATATATATATATAGATAGATAGATAGATAGACAGATAGATAGATAGATAGACAGATAGACAGACAGACAGACAGCCTTTACACAGGGAAGCCTTTACACAGGAAAACCTTTACACAGGAAAACCTTTACGCAGGAAAACCTTTACGCAGAGCAGTTTTTACACAAAGCACCATTGACACATAGAATCGTTTAACACAGAGAAGCCATTACACAGAGCAGTTTTTACGCACAAAAGCATTTACACGGAGAAGCCTTTATACACACAGAAGCTTTTACACAGGGCAGCTTTTACACAGAAGCCTTTTACACACAGACGCTTTTACACAGAGCAGCTTTTACACACAGATGCTTTTACACACAGAACAGCTTTTACACACAGAAGCTTTTACACAGAGCAGCCTTTGCACACAGACGCTTTTACACACACACACGCACTTTTACACACAGAAGCTTTTACACAAGGAAGCCTTTGCACGGAGCACCTTTTATTTGCACAGAGAAGCCTGTACACACAGAAGCTTTTCACAAAGAAGCCTTTACACAGAGAAGCTTTTACAGAAGCTTTTGCACAGAGCAGCTTTTACACACAGACGCTTTTACACGCCTGCCACGCCAAACCCCCGCAGCGTCCAGCGGCGTCCCCGGAGACAACCGCCGCAACGATTGTAGCAATTAGAGGCCCAACGGGCCACGTGCCTCGCCTGCCACGCCAAACCCCCGCGGCGTCCAGCGGCGTCCCCGGCGACAATCCCGGCAGCGCGCCAGCTATTAGCGGCCCCAATGCCTAGTACCCCGCCTCCCACGCCAAACCCCCGCGGCGTCTAGCCGCGTCCCCGGCGACAATCGCGGCAACGGACCGCTGCCAAACCCCCGCGGCGTCCAGCGGCGTCCCCGGCGACAATCGCAGCAATGGACCAGCTATAGTGGCCCCAAGTGCCGCGCCAAGTTGAGACAGAGAAATGGATACAGACAAGTTGATAGAGACAATTGGGGAGAGACAAGTTGATGGAGACAAGTTGATAGAGACAAATTGATAGAGACAAGTTGATAGAGACAAGTCTATATAGAGAAGTTGATAGACACAAGTTGATAGAGACAGGCGACGGGAGGCGGGAGGCGGGAGGCGGAGGAGGCGGAGGAGGCGGAGGAGCGGAGGAGGCGGAGGAGGCAGAGGACGCGGGGGAGGCGGAGGAGGCAGAGGAGGCGGAGGTGGACGGCGGATGTGGAACAAAAAGTTAAGCCCCACATAGTGATGTGGGGAATAACACATACGGAGATAATGTGTAAGAACAATGAAAACAGATTTAAAAAAAAATAAAAAAACATAAGCTTCTATAAAATTCTAATAAATTTGCCCAGAATTTGAGATGAGCCAAACCATGAATGAGATCCGAGATGTCTACCGTGTACGAATTTGGGACAGTAGTGTCGCCAAGTGGCCATCAGGATATGTCCCTATCAGCATAGGTTCCTCAGGGCACTTGTCAATTCAAGCATGGTTAAGTTGACTGGGGATGGGACAGCTGCGAGCTGCATCCCCTAGGAAAGCAAACATCACGCACGATGCATCAAAGGATTGGAGGGGGCTACCTTCCATAGCTATTCATACAGTTCACACACCCAAATGTTTCAATCGGTTGGCCTTTCATGAATTTCCATGCCTTCATTCTTACGATCATATTCTCAGCTGATTTTATCGAGCATCCTTCTCTCCAGAATAGACCCGCCAGCTGGTGCATAGAAAAATTCCGGCGCCATTCTTGAACCTGTTGGGAGGTTCTCCCGCAATTCCAGCAGGGTAGCCGGGATTAATGAGAGCACTTTGAGTTCTCATCACGCTCAATGAGTTAGCCTCACCGCACCTATGGAACCTACACGGGAGCATGTTTTGATTGCAAAACTAGGATCGTGTTTTTGATATTAGACCGTGCCACCTACACCTCGCCTGAAAATAAATCAGCACCCCATTGCTATCAAGGTGCTGCCATCGGATCAATTCCATCTCAGATTGGACTACCACCAAAAAACCTTAGTTGATTCCAAGCTGATTTCAAGATATTCCAAGCAAGCTCTGGAGTTGAAGGCTGAGTGGTGGCCAACTCCAACTGAATGAGCGATCCAAGCTGCAGAACATGGAGAATGGGTCCTCCCAAATAGTCGAGTTGCTGAGACCTAAGTGGACAGCGCACCACGATAGACACCTAAACCTTTGTGTCTTTATGCATGCAGCATGTATTAACATGAATTGAACATGTATGTTTGCGTGTATGTTTGCGTGCATGTCTTGGCATGTATGCGTGATCCCCCTCGAGACCTATAGGTCAGGCGGCGCCATTCCAAAAGGATTCCCCTTCTAGATTGACAATCCCCCCCTTGGTGTTCCTTATGACATGGCAATTTCGACATGCCTTTTTATAAAATGGCAATTATATTTTGCGATAAAAGACCGTTGTTCGGATACCTTTTGCTGAAATAAAAGCCTGTAAATTGGCAAAAATCAAAGTTGATCAATCAAAACCGGAATTGACATTTTAAACATGCCCAAGCAGAATGATGATAATAATGGCAGTTTGGGATTTTTTTTGGGGAATAAACATTTTATATCGTGTATAGACCGATCACCGGACCATTGTATAAAGAAAAAAGGCTGCAGCAACAATTTTCCCGGTTATGTGTTTCTCAGTTTTTGCTGGTACTTGTAATACCGCAACTTTCAAAAGAAAACGACACACATAAACAAACAGTGTACCTTACAAAATTATACATGACTGCAAGATCTGCAAGTAACTTTTTATGTTTTGCACACATGCAGGTAGCTTTAAAAAAACATGATAAACAAAATAGTTAGACAAATGAATAAATGTTTTTGTGACC